TCTTCTAGTTTCATCGTGATTTCTGCTTGTTCTAGTTTGTCTACTAGTTTTCGAAAATCTAAATCGGGTTCTCGAATTGAAGAAGGATGGGATGCTCTCTTTTTTATTGCTATTTTCCTTAATTGTGGTGTTAAGGTCATCATTAAGATTTCTGTCATCTTTGTGTTTTTATAGTCATGTGTATTTAGTGAATATGCTTTTCGAACTAGTGTTTCGATTCGTACTGCTATTTGCTTGATGGTTTCGTTTGGTAATCTGCGAATTTCATTACATAAAACTCTTTGTTGTTGTTTGTTTCTTTCAGAGTCAAACATTTTTGAAAATTCTTGTGTAAATCTTTTCCAGTTTGATTTTATTTCTAGAGGTAGTACTGAAAACCATTTTTGGGCTGCGCCATCTAAGGTTGTTTGTATTAACGCTGTGCGTCGATGTATCCAGTTTTGATGTAGTGGCGTATTAATTGGTTCAGGTCCTATATTTAAAATCAAATTTGCTGTTACTGCATTTAAGTAATCTTCTACAGAGTATTCAGGGTCTGTTCCTGTGAAAACCATTAAAGGTTTGTTTGATGTTATTGATGATCCACCCATAAGGTATGGATTCATTGTCATTTGTAATGATTCTGCTGCATTTGGCATTTGAGAAAAATTTGAAAGTTGGTTTCTTGTTATTTCATGTTGTTGGAGATAATATGGGAGTGGTATTTCATTTTGCATTTGTGATGCTTGATACGAGTGTGCAGTCATTGGATTTTGTTGTTGAATTGGTTGAAAAGATTGTGTATTAATTAGATTTTGTTGTTGAATTGGTTGTTGATGTTGTGCATCTATTGGTTGTGGAGAAAAATTTCTATGATTTGTACGTGTTCTCTGTATTCCTTGTCTACGATATTCTTGAGTATTTGGTGCAAATATATCTGGTTGTAAGAAATCATCATCTGAGGATAAATAATCCATTTGATAAGATGTTTGTTTTTTATTTTTATTTTGTTGAAAAAATGGGTAATTTTCACTGCGATCCTGTGGAGGATTTGGTTGAAAATTTTTGGAATTATACTGGGCCGTTGGGTTATCCCAGTTTCGAGGTTTTGTATATTGATTAAAATTCCTTTGTGGTTGATAATTTGTTTTTGATGGATGTGTATAATTATAATTATGGTCTGCAAAGTTGTTTCTAGTGAATGTTTTGCGTGTTTTTGATGGTATTGTCATGGGTCTGTATGTTTGGTAATCCATATGTGAGTATTTAGGGGCAACCGAAGGTTTAACGGTTGATTGTAAGGTTACCTGTGTTTGTGAAGGATTTGTATTTCTTGGTGTTGTTAAATTTGGGCGTATTGGTGAAATACTTTGTTGTGTAGTTGTTGTGTGTACAATTTCTTCATTTATGAAGTGTGATGGTGTCTGGATATCTTGTTGAGTAAGATTCCTAGTTCCATTGAGGTTTTCGTTGTGTATGACTGTAGAGTTTAAACTATTATTTTGTGTATCGGGTAAAAATGTATTATAGTTTAATGGTGTTGCATCAATTGTTAATGGTATTACTCTTACATAATCTCGTATGTAAGATATTGTACCTATTGCTTGACTTGAGATTGATTGTGGAAAGCTTATAAATGCGGGATGAGACCATTCGGGGTCCCAAACATAATCTGATTGTTCTGTGATAGCGGTATCATCGTTCGAATTTTGGGGTCTAAAATTTTTTCTTGCTTGTGCAATTAAATCAATATTGTGTGTGAAATAATCTATTATGAACCATGCCAAAATTTTTTGTAAATCGTGTTTGGTATGTTGTGAAACGTCGTCTTTCGTGAAATTTTCTTTAATGATGTTTAAATAACTAGAGAGTAGTGTGATTTCATGTCGTACTCTTAAATGTTTAGATGTTTCTGTCGGTGAGACATTTGTTAATGGGAGTTCATTTTCTAATATCGAAATATAACTATATATTATTGCGAAAACTTCATTGGTGAAAATGGAGTTTGCTCTTTGTGAGTTATGGTATTGGATGCTTTTTATATATTCTGAAAAAACTTTTGAAAATTCTAAATCAAGATCGTCTGTTTGAATAGTATATGTTCTATTATTATGGTTTGGTGAGGTGAATTCTATGGAGTAGATTCCATACTGTTGTGTTATGTTGCATATATCTTTTAGATAGTGATCTATGATTTGTCTTTTGATTTTTACATCGGGGAACTCTGTTTTACATGGACTGATTCCGGGTTCAAATAAATTTACGAGTAAATTTTGACAAAATATGTGTTGTCCTCTATCAGTATCTGCATCTACTATAAAAGGAAAGATTTCATCATCATCTGGAGTTTCGTCACCTGGGGTGTGTGTTGAACTCATTTTTCCGTTCGATGACTGTTAATATGTAATTATTAATGTGTCGAATTGGTTGATTCCAATTGTATAAATGTACTGGTTTGTGTTTGTACTGTTTTTTTATTCTTCTTTTTCCTCTTTGTGATGAATTTGAAGTTGTTTCTGAGTCAGAAAAATATATTTGATCGTGAAGTGGGCAATTTTTATCTATTGATTCTTTTAGTTTGTAAAGTTCGTCTAAACTGTTGGTTTCTGATTCTGAAAATGCGTTTCGATTTTTTGAAAATCTTTTTCGTGTTATTTGTCTTTGTTTAGTTATTATTTTCCTCTTTAGTGTTTGTCGTTTTGTGCGAATGTATCCAACTGTTTGTGTATGAGGTGTGATTACAAGGTCGTATTTTTTGTTATCTATTTCACAATTGTGTAAAACGATTGTTTGTTTATTTCCTAGGTTTTTAAATGACATAAGGTTTAGGATGACGGATGCAAAAGTTGTTAAATGATTTCTATTTTCCTAAACTGTTAGTTCTTACGATTTTTTGGTTAGCTTAACCTGGGTCTATTTGTTCAGGGTTGGAGAGAAAAGTATATCGATTCCGAAGAATGATTTTTACTTTCTCGTGACTAGTATAAGCTAAGGTGTTAACTTACTTAATCTTACTTAGGGGTAGTGATTGTGTTCAAGGGTTGGAGAATAGTAAATCGATCCACAAGGTTCAGGTATAATTAGAACGCGAGTAGTTCGTTAGATACTATTTTAAACTTACTAAGTCTAAGATTTATCCTGGGTCTGTTAAGAGGGGGGGGGTCAAGTGAAGGATGAATAACCGAAGTTCTTCACTATTTATCCTAATTTGAATGATTAGTTTTGTTTAAAAATTTCTATTAGTCCTGGGTTTTTAGAGAGGGTTGGATAGTGAATCGACGTTTGAGGTCGTTAGACACTAATTAAGTGGGTGGGGGAGAACAAAGTTGTTCTGTTTGATCCAAGGATAAGCCTTGATGATCAAGTTTGAAATTTAATTAAGTAGAAAATGATTTAAGATCCAAGGATAAGCCTTGATGATCTGATTTTAAATTAAGTGACTTTAAGTTTTAATAAAGTTTTAAATTTGTGTAAAGGAAAGATTTAGTGTTTTGATGATATTAGTGAGTTGATGATTGCTGTTATGTTTTAGGTGATGAAGCTGGAACAACAGGATGATTTATGATTACTAACCATTTATTGTCATGCTACTAATTTTTATTTTTATTTTCCAATAAATATTTTTCAAACATGTTTTGTATAATACTGCAGAGTTTTAGGAAAACGATCTTAGATCTTTTTATCAATCGTTATTGTATAATATTAATTTTGTTTAGCGCCTGAAATGATTTTGAAGAGTAACTTCAAGGTTTTATGTTTGCAAATGGAAATCTAAATTCATTGCAAGTAGTATTCGAAATATAAAAGTTTGTTCTGGCTTTTGCCGAACTATCATATAACTATACGGCAAGTTTCTACTTTGTCGTATGTCGTCTTTGGTTCGAGGTCTTCTTCCAATTCCGGGTAGTTCTATTATGGTTCGGAATATTGGCTCTGATCTATTGAGTCGGAGAGACATTTCAATTAAATTATTGTCGTATAACATTTTGTAAATGTTTTTGTCTAATTTCTAATCTAATTTTGGTCAATTCTAATCTAGTAAGGTCTTGTTCGAGACTTATGGTCGCACCAGATGAGTTATGACTGGGGTGTATAACTCATAGAGTAATTTCGGATAGGGTACACCGTCTGCTCGTCACGCTATCTTATTTTCGGCCGGATAGATTCGTGCAACTTCTTAGTCTAATACCGATCCTAATCTTACTCTTATACTATCTAGTCTCAGGTTGTTTAACTAGTCTCTGCTAGGCTCAATAGATCTAGGGTATACTGGTTTATTGCGGCTGCTGAAGTGCTCGGGAGAGTCCAACTAATTTCTAAGTTAAATTCAAATCTCTCTGGTGCTGAAATTACAAGTAACTTCAGCACTTACAAATAAGTGGGTTGTTAGTTAGATGGATCATGATTGGTTAATATTAAATACTTTACATTGGTAAAACATTTAATTTATCCAATCATAAAATATAGTTTAGATCAGGTTCCAAAAAGGGGGACTGGAAAATAGCCGAAAAAAGGTGGAATAATTTCAATTTGTAGTCAGTTTGAAATTGTATGATAGTACTGTATATGGGAATCCGAACCTCCTTTAACCACCCAAAGGGTACCCATTTAGTTTTATTGTAGGACATCCGTTTTTAGTTAGCCGTCCCTAAAATTTTTCTAAGGGCGCCTTCTAATCTTAGCCAAGTCCCACCCATACCCCGCCCCCCTATCGTAAAATCCTAGATCCCTGCCTGTGGTATGCGATGATCCTAATTTTATTCTGCTGTTATTTAGTGTTAATGAACAAAGCGAAGACATTTAACACTTAATCAGGGTGTTTACTTTTTTCCGAAAAATGTCATTTTTGCATTATTGTTTCGCGGTGAGCTTTTGATTGATGGAACAATTTCCAACTGTCTCTCGTCTGTTTTTCTTTTTTTCCATCATCTGCTTCGGAAAAAATAAGTTCAGAAAAAAATTAAAACAATAGAAAGATTTTATCAATCACTTTTTGTCAATCAGACCGCGTTCTGTTCTAGATTCGACAATGTACTGAAATCGGAGGAGGATGTATATCAATACACAACCGCCAAATTTTTTGACAACATAGAAAGGAGTGACTCGCCAATTGGTAAGTCGAAACAAAAATATAAGGCTGTTTTCATTTATTTGAATTTCACTTAAAAAAACCAATTTGGATTGCATTTGGACAAATTATGTCTGTTTTCATAAGTCCAACTATTCTGACCATGTGTTTTGATGATTATTAAATACCAGTTCCTTTTTCAGAGAAATCTTTTTTTTACCAAGCAGCCTTATCAATTAACTCTTGATAATTTAGTTTAGGGTTCGAAGTCCATTGCTCATGCTCAAAGATCGTATATTTGAAATTATTTATGCAAAAATTGTTTTCTAAGTTCAGAAGAGTTTAAATTTCCTGCTCTTTTTAAGTCCCCCCTTTCTAAATACCGAGTCTTATGTTTGTTTTACGTGTTATTACGACTAAATGCGTGTTGTTACGCTGTAAAGTATGAAGAACAAATCTGTTCAGAATTTTCGATTTGTCACCACGCCAAATTTCATTGCATTATGACAACGTTAGATAAGCTTTTCAAAATTGAATTTGAAAGGGGGGAGCTGGAAAAGAGCCAAATTTCCTTATATTCAAAAAAGCAGCATGCGAGCTCAAAAAGGAAAACAATTATTCATTGAGTACATGGTTATATAGATAAACGCGAAATAGATGAAAGTGAAATAATAGACTGTTCACAGTCTGTAATTCCATCCAGTTTTTTATCTGAATTTGTTCATGTTGTTGTTGTTGTTCAAATCAGGTGTCCAAGGACGTAAGTGCAACAAAACATCATCAATCATTTAGTATGTTGATAAGTAACAAATCAGAGCTGCTTTTTTAAGTTTCAATCATTTTATTCTGTTTTACATGCGTTATGTTAATTCAGAATCAGTGATATGTGGGAACCGATCGTTTAGTTGGCCAATCTTTTAGCATAGAAAGTGAAAAATGAGTATTTTGGCAGGCCAACCTTATAAAGTGATGCATTCGTGATTGACAGACTCAAAAACACGCTCAGTCTTGGGACAAGCTTTCCTAATTAAAACAATTATTCCACAATTTTGTCAACAAAACTATCAACTTCAAAAACGCACTAGTCTAAATTAGGTGAAAAACAAAGAATTATGCGCATAATATCACTTGTGATGAATAGAAGCGCAGAGGAGCAAGCGGCCGCTAATCACCAAGGCCGCTTTTGAAGTTAGCGTTCTGACTTGCTAATTGTTCTGAGTCTGCTAAAAGTTTGCCTAGCTAAAAAAACCGGTCTGCTAAAATCTCTAGCACTGTTATCTGTACTCAAAGTTGATATTTTTATTGGCAAAAAATTTCAATCAGGATTCGGTACCCATGAAGTTTTTTAAGCGTAATGAACGTAGTGAGTACTCTTATATAGGTCGATTTTTTTGTTTTTTTCTGGAAAAAGTCCTAAACTTGTTCACGCTCAATTTTGATTTTTCGCGATTTGTTCGATTTCTTTTTAAGTTCAGCTCAGTACTTTTGTTAAAAGGAAGGAAAACTCCACTATCGAACTGCAAAAGTGTAAAGGTCACAAAAAACGTGATCGACTTCTAATTTCGAAAATGGAAATTAATTATCAGATTTCCCAACGAAATAAAAGTTTTGCCTATTGATCCAGTTTTCTCAAATTGGGTTAATTTTAACAAAAAAAGTCAATCATAAATTGTTCTACAAATTCAATGAGCTTTAAGGTCTTCTCTTTTTTTCTTTGAAATTCAAAAGTTTCACAAGTCAGTTTTTTTTTCAGTTTCCTTGCGTTCATTACTCATGTCCAACTGTCAGTTGGCTATGTTTCTCATTTTGCGATAATCATTACATGACAATGAGCATTTGATCAACGGTTTTTCTAAGGATTATTTGGTCGACATGCTGAAGTTGAGTGTTGTCCAATTAAACAAATATCATTGATCAAAGTTTTTGTCAGAATACTCGAAGCGGTTTTTTGTAAGAATGCTCAAGAAATGAAAAGACAGTTGGTTTAAAAAGAAAATGAGCTGTAAATAAGTGTCGATGAACATAGCGAAGACTCTTATATAGGTCGTGATGATTTGTATTTGTTAGTTGTGTCCGGAAAAAGTTTTCAAAAATTATTCAGGCTCAAATTTGATTTTTCGCGGTTTGACTTTTGATTTCTCTAGATTTCCGTAGTTAAAAGGAAAGCAAATTCCATTGTCGGCAGCAAAATGTTAAGGTCATGAAAAACGTGATCAACATCTAATTTCGAAAGCCGATTTTAATGCTCCAAGTTTTCCAGCGAAAATTTTTTTTAATCTATGGATCTAGTTTTCTCAAATTGACTTATGTCATCAATGAAGTGTCAATCATAAGAGGATCTTGAAATTGAAATTGAAAGAGCTTCAAGCCCATTTTTTATTTTAATGTTTGAAGGTTGAAGTTTTTTCAAACAACAAATCCGTATTTTGTCTGAGTTTTGCGTTCATTGGCTCTTTCCAACTGTCTTTTGGTTATGTTTTTCTTTCCAGATTTAAGATCTTGTGTCAATGAACCTTGTTCACTTTTATCTAGGTCGGGTTGATTTTTTTTTTTTTCGTTTTTCAGGAAAAGTCATAAAATTTTGCAGTCTGCAGCTATCTGAAAGTATGAAAATTTGTTTGATTTTTCTTATGTTTCACATATGATTGCATCGCCTGTTTTTGTTTGTCCGATGAGCTATCATAGTTTCAAAGTGTAGTAGCGAATAGATTAATCATGATTAGGCTTGAAAAACTTGAAGTTTCTTAAAGTTTTGAAAAAAGGAAAAAGGTTGTGGTTTTTCAAATAGTGTTTACATTAGTCAGCGTACTCATTTAGCCTAACTTGCAAATAAGAGTACTCCTTTGCTGTCACTCTTGCTTTACTCATCATATGTAATGTTGGAAATTTCATAGCATCTGTTCTCTGCGTTAATTTTGGCTAGTGTTCGGCGATTGTTAAGTGTCAGCGGCCGAGTGGGAAGGGCATGAGACTCTTAATTTTGAGGTCGCTGGTTCGAATCCGTCGCGTAGCAAAAATTTTACAAAACAGGCATAATTCTGCTTTTTCTTGTTTCATTTTATAGAGCTTTTTTGTCGTTTTCTCGCTACTGTTTGCGAAGCCCAGCTTGGCCTCTGTTCAAAATATATGTATATATTTTTTTTCTTTCAGTTAGCATTTGTATTATTCATTGAGCATGTAGTGTAGACCACAAAGATCAAGGGCTCGAGCCCGGTCAGGAGTCTTATTTTTGAAAATTGAAATTTTGCTGGAAACGTTTTTTGTCGTGCTATCTTTTTTCTGCGATTGTCTATTTGTTCAAGTTCGGCAACATGGACGTTTCTTTTGTTTTGAATATTTCATTTTGATTAGAAGTAATTTTGATTTAGTCCTGGCAATATTGCGGGTAATTTTTCTGCAATTTATGAGCTGTGTCGAAATGTTTTTGAGCAGTCGTGGTCAAGTGGGTTAGGCACATCTCTCTTAACACGAGGGTCATACGTTCGAATCCCGCTTCGGTCACGGCTGGAGGGGTCCCAGTGTCATCCGCCTCCTCAAGGTGGGACCGGCTGCGGCAAAATGGATGACATCTCCCCCTCCCCCACAGTTGGTCCTGCACTGAGCAGGCCGGGGGCTAATAAAAAAAAAAAAAAATAAAAAAAAAAAAAAAATTTTTACTCTTTGTCAGTAGAAAGCAATGAATGGAGTCCTATGTCTTAAGCTATCTGAAATTATGATTTTATCTGATGACAAGATTTTGAAAAGTATCTGAAGTTTCTTATTTTACGATGATTCAATCGCCTGTGTCTTGAGTTTGTCAAATGAGTTTTCATGCTTTCAAAGTGTGATAAATAATGTTAATGGTTGTGGCTACTTTTCAAAAGTTTGAAATATTTGAAAAATAGGAGTTTTGTTGCGAATTTTTGATGGTCATTGAAAAATCCAAATTTTATTTCAAAGCATATATTTTTGTATAGCAAAGGTTGCGAAGCTCCATTTTGACTGTCTACTTACTCTGTGTCTCTTTTCGTTCACATGCTGTCATTTTAAGAAAAAGTGGAGGAATCGGCGTTGATCACTTCGGACGAGTTGGCAGTACTGGATGCAATGGTGTGTGGTGGAGTGGCTCTCAGTCTCAAAGGACAGTTCCTGAAGACGCTACCTGATTTGAGTCCACTCTATAACACATTGAAGTACATCAATCTGTCCTTCAACGAGCTAAAGGTAATTATATTTAATTTTAAGAGAGAGTCTTTGTCTAACTATTAAACATTGTTCATTTTTTCAGCGTAAATGAACGAAGTGATTGTCTTTCAGATGGTCTTAATGATTTTTTTTTTTTTTTTTTTTCAGGAAAAAGTCGTTAAATGCTCTAATAAATATCGAAGTGCATTCATACCTAATAATGTTTTTAGTAATGCACTTCATTGAAAGAGCTTTAACCTGATATTTTTTATCAAAAGTTTTAAAAAACGTTTTGGTTCAGCTGTTTTCGGTTTTTTTCACACTTTTTCAACTTCTGTAGCTATGTTGGTATTTTTAAGTTGCTTGAAATATAAATTTAACTTAAATTCTTGGTGAACCAAATTTAAAGGAGTCCACCGATTCTTTAGCGTGTCGCCTCAGTTTTGTTGGTGTGATTCAATTTGTATACAATTGTAAAGATAAGAATGAAGTTCTTCTCTTTTGAACCGCTTTTGCTTCCATTACCCTCGAGTAAGACATGAAATCTTTTCTTTTCAGTCGATTCCAGAGGCACTTTTCTGCTTGCACAATCTAGAGATTCTGAAGATGAGGAGCAACCCACTCACTAATCTGCCTCAAGGTCAGTTCAGTGCTGCTTCTAGAGATAACTACTTAACAGAGATCTTCTACCTTTCAGATATATTTATCATTTTGATGTTCCTTTATGGCATAATGATTGGCGTATTCCCAAGTGTATAAGTTTGCATATGCTTGGAATTTAACTTATTATTATGATTAGTTATTGTTATTATGATTGTTAAAGAGTAATGAACATAGTGAGTACTCGCATATAGGTCTTGGTGATTTTTTGTTTTTTTTTCAGGAAAAGTCTTCAAATTTATTTACGCCCACTTTTGATTTTTCGCTATTTGACTTTTGATTTCTTTTCTAAGTTCAGTTTACTTCTTTTGTTTACACTTGCGAACTTTTGCGAGCGTTAGTGTAATAGTACGACTATCTTTTTCTCTAACCTAAAAAGCAAATATTCGTCCGACTTTTAGTGGCACATTTACGGCTTTTTGATGGCATGTGCTCTGACATTCGAATAGTAATAATTTAGCACAGTTGATGCATTTTAATTTCATCAAATGAACCGAACAAAGCTATTTGTTTCAAACAGCATAAAATTCATAAAAATTCGATTTCAGAAATTTTGTGATTCAATTTATCTCGCAGTTTTTTGAAATGCTTAATTTATATATAAATTTTGCATGCAATTTCATACATTCCAGTAAATTGCATGCAAAGTTAGTTTAGATTCCTTCAGTTTGTTATATTCCAAATTAATACTTGCAAAATTGTGTCTATTTGTATTTGGTGCCACTTTTGCTGCGGTGCATTGGCAATGGTTTAACAGGAGCTACGAGGTTTAACTTTCGACGAGGTTTAACAGGATCTGTTCAGAATGTTCTTTTAAGCCCCTGGGAGTTATCCCGGGGAAGCCCTCAAAATTTGATATATCGTGTCCCCCCTTAGGGATCCAGTTAAAGATACAATACTATTGCAGCTGCTTTTTTACTAGTGTTTGCCGGTTGTAGGGCGTTCACTGCCGAGAGTGCAGGGAGTGAGACTCAAAATCTCGAGGTCCAAGGTTCGAATACGATATGTAGCAAATTTTTCCTTATTTATTTTCTTATTTCACTTAATAAAGCTGCTTTTAAGTCGTGTTCTCGCTAGTGTTTGCGAAGCGCAGCTTCTCCTCTGTGTAAAAGAGAGAAGTAAACTCCACTATCAAACAGTAAAATTGTAAAGGGCAGGAAAAACGTGATCAACTTCTAGTTTCGAAAATGGAATTTAATTATCAGATTTCCCAGCGTAATTAAAGTTTATCTATTGATCCAGTTTTCTCAAATTAGTTTAATTTTATTACAATAGCACCTATCACAAAAGTCTTTTGAAATTCAAAGAGCGTTAAGGGCCTTAAACTTCTGAAGTTCGAAGTTTTTTCAAAAAAACAACGTTTTTTTGTTTCCTTGCGTGCATTACTTTTTTCTTGGTGTCACTTGGCTACGTTTAAGTGTAAAAGAGCGAAGTGATTTAGTTGTTCGCGGTTTGACTTCTTATTTATTTTTAGTTCAGTTCAAGTTTATATACTGAAAGAAGGCAAATCGCGCTTTTCAATTAAGAAAGCGGAATAGGCGAGAAAAAAACAAACGCGAATGACTTCGTTTTTTTTTGAATTTCAAGTGGAATCAAAATGTATATATGTATGCGTTAGTTTTGTCAAATATGTGTCAATCATAAATTGTTCTTGACTTTCGACGAGGTTTAACAGGATCTGTTCAGTTCTTTTAAGCCCCTGGGAGTTATCCCGGGGAAGCCCTCAAAATTTGATATATCGTGTCCCCCCCGTAAGGATCCAGCGACAGATACTATACTACTTGAGCTGAATTTTTATTCTTCTCTCAATTTTAATTGCCCGCATACAATTAGCATAAATATCAGTTTGTATCTAAAAAAGAGACGTTAGAATTGAGTTTCGAATATAGCTTGAAATTGAAGATTTTAAAATGAGTCTTTGATCAACATGTTCAGCTACTTGGCGGTGAAAGTATAAACAAGTAATGGTTTGAAAAGACTGCCTTATATCTATTTGGAACTAGAAAACTACGGGGTGGTTTGGTTTGGTGAGACCTACTAAGCCCTTCCAATGTCCAGCTTGATAATAAGTTAGCTATCAACTTAGTGGGTCCAAAAAATAGTATTATTCCAATTTGAGCTCTCGGAATGATTCCCGAGAAAGCTTTCAAAATATGAAATCTTTGACTCGCTTTCAATAACAATGTGTATTTTCTATCGATTGTTGCTCTTGTTTTTCTAAAAACTAGTTTGCTGTTCAAATGAGCTGCACTCTTAAGTTCTTGTTTCCAAAATGTTTTTAGATTCTATCCTTATAAATCCGTTTGAGTTCGAAAATTACTATTAGAAAAGTGGTTATCGATTTTTCATTCAAAAGTGAGCTTGCAAAAGTGAAAAGACTGTATTAGTTGGGTGGAATCTTATTATTTTGGTTGTGGTTTTATTTCCTTAGCAGGCAGTTTGGTTGAAGAAAGCAAAGAAAGTTGATTTTAGAAAGATAATCTCGAATTAGGCTGGGGTTTTAGTTTTTTTCCCTCCTTATGTTATATGAAGATAATTGTTATGATACAAATAGTGCTTTTGCTAGAGTGATTGAATCCCGCTAAACGACGAATATAGACAATCAATATTTAGTTTTCAAAAAGCGCAAAAAAAACTGAAAACTCAGTCCAGTTTCGACTGTTTAAATGAAGATGCGTAATTGAAAAACTGGTCGAAATGCCGTTTTGGCTAAGTTTTGGAATAATTTTAAAGGCGTCATTAGAAAAATTTTAGAGTTGGCCGGCCGAAAATGATGTCATAAAATAATGTCAAAGGGGGGACCCTTTGTTGGTGAGGGGGGGGGGGTTGAATTCCCTAAATTTGTCCATGAATAGGACTTTTTAGAGTGAGCTTTGTTTTCCCGGATCTCTTTAACTGCCTCCCCCCCCCCCCCATTTTGGTACCTATTAACGAAGTGCCATCCTTAAATGATATAAGGCAATGGTTTGGCATACACAATATTATTACCTAGTAACGAAATATCACCCTTTTGAAAACGGGTTTGAAATATTTTAAGAGATCAGTTTCTTACGCAATCGGTTCTTCTGTCATGAGAAAAGCCCCACCCCTCTCCGTTACTAGGCACATAGAAGAGAAATAGGTAGAAATTTTTCTTATGTTTCAGACATCTCTCTATTGTCGAATCTGAAGTGTCTGGTACTAGCATACTGCAACATCAAAACAATTCCACTATCCCTCTTCGAACTGACAGATCTAGAGATACTGGATCTGAGGTACAATGTGTTGACATACATGCCAGCTGAAATCAGACAGCTCAAGTAAGATCAGTTCTTCAGTAAATTTATTCCGAATTTTAGAATATAATTCTTGTTTTAAGCAAAACGAATCCATTTTTTCAACTGAATCTGAGCTCTGATGTTTTAACATAATAGGCTTCGGCCAATATTATATCGGCATAGTGGCCGTATATTGTTTCGTTTGACGCGTGAATAAAGTCAGTGTGTGTCTGTGTGTGTGTGTGTCTGTTTGTTTGAGAGTGTGGGTAACGCGTAACGGCCTAAAGGGTTTCTATTAAGGTATTTCCGGCTTTGCTACCGCTTGATAAATTTTACTTCGATGGTAGTTTCACATTCTATTGTCTTGGCTCGTTTTTTTTTTCAAAACCAGCCTTATCGATTGATCTAATTTTGTTCGAATTATTTTCCAAAATTTTTTCGACTTAATAGTTTTCTTGTTTTGTACCGCAAGCGGTGCAAAGCTCAGATTCGCCTCTGTTTCAGAGTTGTTTTTTTTTTATCAAACTAACTCGCAAATACAATTTCTCAATTTGTGGGAACTTTTGCTATATTTATGATCTGTTGGATTGGAATTTTTATAGCATCTGTTCTCTTTAGTATTTGTTGACCTAATTTTTAGTACTTCGAGACTTATTTCTACTTTTTTTTAATTTCACATTAGAGCTGCTTTTTTGTCGCGTTCTCGCTGGTGTTTGCGAAGCTCAGCTTCGCCTCTGTGTTAAAATTATTAAAAGCGAAGTTACTGCTGTCGCTCGCTGTTGCCATTAATAGACATGAACTCGTTGCTCTCGAAAGTTTTTTTGTCGAGTTCGTTTTTAAATTTGACTTGAAAGTTCGTCCGATAAGTTCGGGAGGTGAAGGGAACCTCTGCAAAAATGCAAGGTTTTTAAATTCGAAGTAAGATTTCAGGCAAAATTGGGAGAAAAAAGGTTATAGTGTTGTGACGCGTGATCGATGGACCTGAACCTTGCGCAACCTGTCACTTCAAGAAAGAGATGCGTTTTGAGTTGTTGTCTGCTCTTGGAGGAATCGCTGTCTATTGTTAGTCTTTTTAAAGCCTTGTATATCACAAGCAACTTGTCCTTCGAGTGAACCCATTTTGTACCGGAAAGAATGTTCCGGATCTTTATCCGGCGCACGGCTTTAGTTGTGGATAGTTTGCAGTGTTCCGCAGAATTTACAGATGGATCAAAATTACGGCAATTACTTCGTGATTTTTCACTACCGTAATAACATGAATTCATTAACACAGTTGGGTTTGATTTGAACTCTTTTTTTGTGGGAACTAAAAACACTCACAAACCCTTTTGAAGTGGAGATCAACCAAGTGTCAATTTGAAAACAAAACCGGGAAGCTTGTTTATAAACGTGCTTTAAATAGCGGAAGCATCTACAACGTCAGTGGATTGCACAAATTTGTGAAAATCGTCAAAAGGAGCATCATGCACACAGAAGTTGAAAAGCGTAAAGGATGAAAATCGAACCTTGAGGCAACACGAGTGGATTAAAGAAGTCCCAGCAGAGCTTAAATCTTACATAATGAAGTAGTTCTCTGGATTGGGTAGATTTATCAAAAAAATGGCAATCGTAGATTGTTCTTGAGTTTAAAAGAGCTCAAAGGCCATATGTTTTTTCTTAGAAATGTGAAAAATTTTTTTTAAAAAAACGAGCTTTTTTGGTTTCTAGACTTTCTTTGATATTTTCCAACACGGTTTGCAGTTTTTTTAATGAAATTTTCAAAAAAAATTCATAAAATTTCAAATCTAGTTTTGTAGATCCTCTTCATAATGAACATCTTTTTCTTTCGATTCAAATTGTTCGGCTTGTGGGGGTCGATTTGTTGCTGTGAAAATTTGCTGTTTTCCTTTTCCGAATAGGAATTGACTATGTTAATTTTTGATAGTAATTTGTTGAAAAATTGTTGCTAACAAACTTTTGCTGAGGTTATATCGGCAGAATTTCTCAGCTTCCCAGTGAAGTTTCGTTAACTATCGCTGAGTTGAGTGCTTCTGATGTAAGTTTCTGAGTTTTCGAAATCAGTAACTTTGAAATAAAAATTGATCATTACGGAAACAAAATTTTTAGATGAATCGGTCCCAATGTTTTCATAGTCTTGCAGCAGAAGCAGTTTAATGAGGTGTACAGTTTTGACGTCGTCTTTTATGAAGTTGCTTATGATAACGCTTTGACATAATTGAAATATCTATAGGTATCTGTCTGTACTTCGTAGGTTGTTAAAACGTTTTTTATTGTCGCTTTCTTCAAAACTTTGAGAAAACTTTTTTCCCTCAGTTTCGATGGGCATAGCGAGACACTTATTGAGATCGAGAGGGGCTTTCGATTTTTTTTCGGGTCTGTTCTGTTTTACCGCCCAAAATTTATTATTTATGCTATTAGTGGAAGTTCGATCATGATGCTCGAATCTGATTGGACGAAATTAATATCAGCAATAAGAAATCTCCGCATTTTCAGTAAAAACAGAAGCTGAATTAACAATTTCATAATTTGGGCCGTATAACAGAAAACAGCCATTTAGTGTTTTAAAGTGCTTATGGTTTATGTTTTTCGTGGCCTTTTCCATTTCAATTTTCTCTCCATAATGCAATAACACCAAGACGCTTCATTTCAAAGGACTTTGCAAAATTTTGGACGGTACCAATTAACTCAAACATTGTCTGACATGTTTTCGAAACCAATTCGTGATTTTTTCGATGAATTGGAGCAAATTTTGTGTTTTTGTTAAATTCTGCTATAGTTTGATGAATTGGAGCAAGTTTTGTGTATTTTTGTTGAATTCTGCTGTAGTTTGAGTGTAATTGCTGTATTTCTATAATTACTTTTGTTACATGTTAGTCAAAGAATACGCTTCCCGATCCTTGGTTTTTCCAGCGTTTACAATTTGGAAGCGAATCTGGTGTTATTCCAGGGGATTTAAATTGCCCTGAAACTAACCATTGCTTTCATTCACAAAATATCCGGCTGCAAAACTATTTGCCTAGACCCGTAGGAAATACCCGTATTATCCGGCAGTAGTAAAATTAATTTATTCTTTTCAATTTCTCAGTTGAAATGGAATTTAGCGTGTATGTTTAATTGAAACTATGTTTCATAGTGAAATTTGACTTGGATGTGTTATTGTTTTTTGAATCGAAATCAGTTTAGGTCAAAGTATTGTCCCATGTCAGTCAAGTTTTATGGTTCTTTCATTCATAGAGATCCGTATTCATTAGATTCTGTAAGAAAAGCGCAAAAGGTGTTTTGCTAAATATTCGAAAAAAAACGAATTTTGAAAGGGCTAGGTGCTATTCCGGGCTCTTAATTTAACTATAAAATCAACCAGCAAATAGTCAATAACAGATTATTGAAAGCAAAATTGTACGTGCTTCTCAAATTGACATTAAGTTGTTTTAATTTATATAATTTTCAAGAAATAAGCTCTTTTTTTCATTCGCTCCTATCTCACAGGTTTAGAAAGGGGACCAATTATGTTAAAGAGTCGAGTCACATAACTTAGAATTATTTTTTTCCCTTTCTGGTTTCTTCATTTGACCTTTTCGCATTCACATTTTGAAACCAAGTTTAACTCTTCTGTTCTAGATAAGAACGTTTTTTTTATTAAGATTCGATGAACGAAGTTGAGGCTTTTGTATTAATCGTGTTGATTTTTTTAGGACTTATATGGGTCTTAATTTTTTTTCAGGCTCAAAATTACTTTTTCGTGGTTGACTTTCTTTTAAAATTCAGTTCATTTCCTTTGTTTAAGCTTCTGAAAAATGTATGTAATAAATACTGCATTAAAAGTAAGCAAGCCAATTTTAGCGTTGAGGGGTATAAGCTTATCTTTTTAATTATTCTCCTTATATGGTTCTCCTAGCAAACATTTTCCACCCCCTTAAAGAACTAATTCAGAATCGATGAAGCAGTGAAGACTCTGATTTCGGTCGTGATAATTTTTTTTATTCAGGAAAAGCTTTAAATGATGTTCATGGTCAAATGTAATTCTTTGTGGGCTGACTGCTTTAGTTTTTTGTAGTTTCGGTTCTTTTCCTTGTTAAAATGAAAGCAGGCAAACTCCACTACCGAACAGCCAAAGTTTAAAGTCACTAAAAACTTCGTCGACTTCTAGATTCGAAATTGGAATTCATTTTTCAGATTTGCCAGCGGAATAAAAAAAATTACCTAATGATTCAGTTACGGTCGCTGTGAAGCCAGTCTAACTAAAATGCTTGTTTTATACTATGATGCTGAAAAAGTAATGAGCATTTTACATTATTTACGAGTGGTTAATTATCGCACAACACTATTGCGTTTCAAATTGAATTGGGCTTATTCTTTCCGTTCACGACGAAAATTTCATGACTTAGAAATTGATCGTATCAGCCTGAACTTCATAGTTTGTCAATACTTCTTTAACCAAAAACTATTCTATGCCTATTAATGGGCAGTCGAAGCATATAAACCTTCGCCCTGATACGAGCATTCGTGTTGTATTATGTAGACAAAATTTTGATTAATTTTGGTTGTTGTCAATTGTCAAACATGTACCAATTGTCAAAAAGATTTTTACTGGACAATGTACAAAAAAAATTAAGATACGTTTGCCTTTAAAGGTCAAAATTGCACGTCATCACGCTATAAATCTATTGAGACTTTTTCGATCGCGAAGTCATTTTTTTGAACAAGTGATCTGAATTTAGGCAATTGGCTTCTGAAGCGTGTATTTGGGTTTTCGGATAATCGATACAAGCTTCAAGTCATATGCAGGCTATATTGAAATCGTTAACGAAATAATATCTGAATTTTTAGGTGCATTTCCGCAGAACCGCCTTTGCGCACAACCAAAACAACCAAAAAATTTTGCTTAGAGATTTAGCAGTTAAATAAAATTTCAACAAGGATAACTGGTTATTTGTGCAAGTAGCACAGAATGTTCCGACCATAGTCTTGAAAAATACAAAAAAGTTTTTTTTTTCAATCAAGTCTCGGTTTTCTGCGTAGTGTGATAAAAAAGATCTAAACGAAAAAATAAAGTTTAGGCTTATTTGACAACTATTGTAAAATAGGCGAATTGGAAAACCATTTTTCTAGAAAATTGACTAGAGAATCGAAAAAAAAAATCGTGGAGAACTCATAGAATTATATAGCAATAAAATAGCCACTATATTAATAAGCATTGTTTTTCTCCTATCCGGGGACAGTTTTCTCCGGGTTCTCTCCCTCTTATTACGAATTTTCCGATTTTATTTGCTACAGTGCTGATTTAAATTAACCGGACAAAACGCTTAAACGTGAAATTTAAAACGCGTTTTTCTCAAATTGGGTCGACTTTAGGAGAAAACTTATGAAGACAAAACTTGCTTAAATTTTTAGCAGAATTAATATGGTGCAATTTATTTTGCGAAATTTGGGTCCGAAATTTTATCCCAAAAATGGGTCATTTTGGCTTTCCTTAGTTAATCCAAAATTGCGCCAAAAATACCCAGTCGATCACAGACATAATTATATCAAAATCAGCCCCTTACGTAGCCCAACAAACTTTAAGAAGGGTATAATCTCCAAAACATTATATAAGTTAATTTATCTTGTTTGATAGACAAAAAAGGTCGTTTTTACTAAATAAAATACCAACTATTCATTTAAAAACAATTTTTAAACGTTTTGCAATTTTTTTTGCAGAATTAACCCTTCTTAAAGTTTGTTGGGCTACGTAAGAGGCTCATTTTGATCTAATTATGTCTGTGATCGACTGGGTGTTTTTGGCGTAATTTTTGATTAACTAAGAAAAGCCAAAATGACCCATTTTTGGGATAAAATTTTGGGCCCGAATTTTGCAAAACAAATTACACCATATTAATTCTGCTAAAATTTTAAGCAAGTTTTGTCTTCATAAGTTTTCTCCTAAACTCAACCCAATTTGAAAAAAAAACGGGTTTTAAATTTCAAGTTTAACGCGTTTTGTCCGGTTAATTTGAATCAGCACTGTACTACGGCTAAATTCTTGACGTCACGATGTAAAGTTTGATGAAAAAATGTGCCACACTTTTTTTGTTCACTAGCAAATTTTTTTCTTAGAGACATTGGAGAACATAAATGAAAATAAAACATGAATTATTTGTTCAAAGAAGATACATGTGTGTAATTCTAACCATCTAATAATTGGAATGAACTGCAAGTTAAACTTTGAAGACCCTGATTTTCTTTTGTGGGATTTTGTTTTTACCCTTTTCTCCACAATTATTAGACCAAAATTTTCTCTCAAAAATCTATTATTTATTTAAATGCGGGCTTCACTATCTCGCCATGCTTAAGTGTTTTCAACGTATTGTTCTAGCATGTTCAACAAAAGAATTTTCGCACGCGTAAGCTATATCGTAATTGGCCCTTTTTCTCCTTGTTAAGAGGGATTCTACAAGGATAAGTATGAAGAAAAATATGCAAATAAATTTGTCATGGCCTCCCGCCATTAGTACGCCCGCCAATTTTTCTAAAAGCTTGAGTTAAAAATATATGGGAGGGGGAGATCCGGCTAAATTTTGAACCTTTTTGCTTTCCATCTTCTGTGAGTTTTAGAATTTATTTTTTTGTTCACATTGTTCGATTGTTACGAATTTGATTTGGTATGAGGACTAATTAAACAATATGTCAAATATATTTAATATTCATACATAACCTTGTAAAACCCCCCTTGTTACATCATAATAAATTTGATGTTTATGTGATGTGGGGGAGAGGAGGAAAAGAGTCTAAGTGTTTGTGGTGATTTAGGAATCTGCGGGAGTTGAACGTGGAGGGCAACCAGTTGACTCACATGCCCTGTGGTCTGTTGAGATTGAGGAGGATGACGTCACTAGCAGTGAGGAACAACTTCATGCACCCTCTCTTGTGGAGAAATCTCACCAAAGGCAACAATGTGCAAGTAAGTCTGTCGTGTCTCACTTGTTGTTCCTGTTAAAATCATGGCTCTGGATCTTTTCCACATTTTCCACCCCTTTCCCACCTTCGCCGCCGTCCGAATCAACCCCCCCCCCCCCGCCCCTTCGACACACACACAAAAACACAAAGAGACATTTGTGTTTGAGTTTTGAAAAAAAAATTGAACGCTTTAGTGTCAAATTGTAAGGAAATTTTACTGGATGAATAAATTAGTTATTAGGAACAGACTTATTCTTCATGACTTGCATCGTAGTATCACGCATTCAGTTATAATTACACGAAAAACCTCCATAAAAAACAGAAATTTCCAAATTTTTGGGGAGAGAGAGCCAAAATAGAAGTGAGCTTGTTCGGGCTGGGAGTCCCAACCAAAGGCAACAGTCTGCAAGTTAGTTTAAAAGTCGACATCATCGCCTTGTTTTTTTGCAGATCTCGGAAAATCCAGTAAAAGTCTGTGATTACTGAAATATCTAAACCCCTTTTTGTTTTAGAGCCTGAAAGATCTGTGTTGCGCAGTGATCACTCGCAGCAAAATAGACATACATGCTGGTAGCAAGAAGCTACCCTCCAACATACTCAACGTGCTAGAACCGTAAGTCACTCTTAAGTTAATGATTATGGGTGAAAAACAAGGAGACAAGTCTGATCTAGACAAAGAACTTAATAACGAGCAGAACAAACAAAATGAAGGCATTTTAGCGTTTAATTGACTGATTAAGCCTGAAACATATCATTGGTTCTCAATCTGCTTGCCTTCAAATCCAACTAAAATAAGACTAACTGCTGAAAGAAATTGTAATTCAATATTCCGCTAATAATTTTCTTCTAATTGAGTACCTTGCTTCTGCTTTGTTTGCTGTACTGTCTCTTCATAATTACTTATTACTGATCCTTGCCATTCACCGATTATGTTCTGCTTTTTATCTTTTCACCCTTTGATTTTTGATAGAATCTTTTTCAAAAATGCTCTTTTTCTTTTCGCCCCGCGTCACATAAGAAGCACTTTTAGAGGAAAAAGCCCAGAAATGATATTTAAAATAATTTTGTTGTTTAAAACGACTTTAGTGGTTATAAAATGTCCCAGAAACTGATCAGCGTAGTGTATTTGTACGAACCTTCTTTTTTCTTATCTAACTCGCAAATAAAAGTGTTCTTTAAAAGTTTTCACTTATTTGGTAGCACTTTTGCTCTAAGCACGATCTGTATCATTGGAAATTTTATAGGATCTGTTCTCTGCTTACATTGTGGCTAATGTTTGTCGATCGTTTAGCGTGTATGGTCTAGTGGGAAGCGCGTGAGATTTTTAAGCTTTTTTTTGTTTGTCTAAAAAGTGTCAATCATTTAATTGATTCTTCAATTGCAATTGTTCTTCAAGGCCATATATTTTTAACTTGAAATTAGAGAGTCAGTTTTTGTTTCCTTGCATTCCTTGACTCTTTTGAAACTATTTCTTGGCTATATTTAAACTATTATTGGACGAAATGAGAACATTCATTTAGGGGGTTTAGGACAACAAGCCGACGGGACTTCAGGCCGAAATTTAACAATTACAAGCACCTCAAATTACAATTTTTTCATCTGTAAAACGTTGCTTTTCAAAAATGTAGGCAAGTTTAGTCCATAATAATCGTTATTCATGATAATGAATCACTTAGGATTGGCATCCGTTAATAACTTCAGACAGTTTTTGAAATGCATAAATTATAAACAAGAAAATCGCATTCAGCCGTGCTTTATATTTCACCTTTCCTAAACATCATTTGGAGGCTTAAATTTTAAGAAAAAGTCAATAATTACTGAAAAAAGATCATAAAAGTAGGAAATTCTTTAAAAAGGTTTTCAATTTAGTCTTATTTCGTCACTTAATGAGAAAATTTTCGGCTTGAAGTCCCTAATTTTACGATTCGGCTTGAAGTCCCGTCGGCTTGATGTCCGGCACCCTCATTTAGGCTGTAGGATTTCTTTTCGGAAAAAAAAGATTTTCTCGATCAAATGTATTTTTTACGGTTTAATTTTATACTTTGTTTCAAATTTCCATTCAATTTCATTTGGTAAATGGAAAGTAAATCGCCTGCGAATGGTGGGATTGACTCTACTATGAAAAATGATTTTTATTTTCAGTTTTCACCGCGGAAGCAAAAAAGTTGGCATAGTGACGTTCTCATCGTATGTCAATAAAACAATAATCGTGATTCGAAACTCTTGCCAGTTTCTACAATTCTGCACCTAACTCTCTGCTTAACTCGGGAGTGATTTGAACTAATTTTACTCTTCTGTTCTAGCGAGGGCGTATGCGACTGTTGTGGAAGTGGAATGTTCGGAGAGGGTCTGAAAGTGGTGAGACCTGCGAGGAAGATATTCGGGGTGACAAATGTCCCCTTCCTTTTTGTATCTTGCTCGCCCTATTGTCTTACAGAATTCAATAACAACTCTAAGAATACTGCAAAACATATCTACAAAGAGGAGTGAAATCACAGTGAAATGGTTGAAAGCTTACTGAACAAATCATGACGAGAGACAAAAATCAGCGAGAAATCAACAAAGTTTTTGTCAAAATCAACAAAATTTCAGTGACAAATTACAGAAATTGCAGTGAAAAACGAAATTGTGTGAACACATTCATAAACGTGATAATTTTGATTTAAATGTCTTTTTTCATCAATAAGTTCGTTTTGTTCTTGTGAACAGTGTTTCTATCAGTTTATTGTTAGATTTTTGGAAGGAGTTGAGCAAAAGGCACAAAATATAGACAAAAAGATAAATTATGACTTGGATAAAAAACCCAAGAAAGAATTCATAAATCTATTGCTAAAAAGATTGAAAGCTAAAAACTGTAAAACTAAAGATGAGTTCCAAAAAACTCAAATATCTTTCCTTAGATTGAGGAAATTATTTTCGTTTTGAACATAAAGTTGACCTAGTAAATGGCAGTATAAAATATAGTTAAGATGAATTTCGTTATAACCCGCCATTTAATTGGTAAATTTAGTATCAAGAACCTATTGCTATAAATTACATTTGTTCATAATAGATTTAATCATTTTGTAAATATGTAAATTTAGAAAACATGTAAATATATCTGCATTAAATTGTAAATACTTCATTTTGAAATTGAAATTTTTATTTTTGGAGCATTTTTTCAGCGCAGTGTAAGTAGTTTATGTTCTAAAAGATGCTGTTTGGAACTGTCGTTTGCTTAGCAACTACAGAAGAATAAAATGTCCAATTTTGTAGCAGGAAAGTTCAATTGATGAAAAATCACCTGTGAAATGTTTGCATAATTAATGCGTGCATTTAATACTGGTCACTGCGTGGTTTTCGTTTCTAAGCGATTTTTGCTGTGGAATCTCAGTGTTTAAATTTCTGAAAGAAATACTATAGTTTCAGTATCTATAATTATAATTGAGCTTCAAAAACTACAGAATAAAATAGAAAGTTAATTTATTTTATTTTCTGAATTCAATTGAAACTTTCCTAAATTCAAAAATTTGAATACTTGTTAACGACAATCGACCTCAATTCCGTCCACATTGAACGGTAAGTAATGTGGTTTTTTAGAAGATCAAGTTTGCTAGGGTTTGAAGTTAACTATAACGTGCTGAATGTTTGTCAAAACTAAAAAATTTGATTTAGTGGTTATTGTAAACAAAATTATCCGGTTGCCGTGCAAGTATCACGGGACTGTTCTCACCGCAGATTTTGTAAAATATTTTTAAAAAATTATAAAAATTTTTTCGTACGCCAATGAATAAAGACTAGCTCAAGTAATTTTTTCAGTTTTTTATGAAGCTCGAGTTTGGTTTTTACGGTTTAAGTTTTGACTTCTTTTTCAAGTTTAATTGTTGTTCTAGTCAGTTGTGACTAACCTGAAGAAAACTCAAACTCGTCAAGAAAAGTAACACTTATTGCAGTTTCACAGGTGACCGATTCGAAAAAAAATTAACTAAGTGTCAAGAAAAACTAGTCTAAAGTTTTTGTTTCAGACAATTGAACATTTTGTCTATGATAACAATTTATTTCGACTTCCTTCAAAAATTTTTGCAGATAATAGTATGCCGTACATCATACCTAATAATTTGTTAAAGGTAATCTGCAAAAAAGCTTCATAGGTAAAGGTAAAGTTTTGAAAAGTGAGTCTGAATAGCAAATATTTCCGACAAAATTTTCAAAAAACTTGACATTTTTTTTTAGTTCGACCAAACCCAAATTTATTTTCTGAGCTCTCCCAAATCACCAAAAAGACCCTGTTTTTGTCTAATTTTGCAATATAGCAATATAGAAAAAGACGATTAATTAAATTAACCAAGATGACAAAATTTTTGAAAATATTGACCAAAAAATGCGTACAAAATTGGTACATATTGGCGCCTTTAGAAAATTTTTTGGGTTGATATTTGGCCTGAAAATAAAGTATGAAGATAATTATTATCTAAATTTTCTGCACCAAAAATGACTTTTTCTAATACGAGTTTTTAATTCATATGTTATCTGTTTAACAAAATTGAGGCTAGAACGTTGATAACAAAAACAACTTAAAAGGGAGTCCCTTAAACGCAATAGTTAGCGGTAAAAAACTCTTCGAGTGACTGTTGCTCACTGTAGCTCTGATGGAAATTTTCTTGAGTATACCAATATGCTCATGCTTCGAAACAAAAAGCTAGTTAATTTAAGTTACTTTGTTAAAAATTTGATGATTTTCACAATTTTTTGCGAAAGTTTATTTCAATCCATTTTGCCGAACATTCAGCTATTTTTTTAGTGTTTCCACAAAAAATATATATTGAGTAGTTTTTTTAAACAGCAAATCTTCCAATTAATTTTGAGCTCAAACGAATCCGCTCATAGTCAACTCCCCAGTCAAAACTGATAGTGATGATTTTACACACTGTCAGAAGTACAACATTTATCACCAGTAAGACAAAGGACATTTTACAACAATTTTAAGGCCAATTTTTTGGTTGAACTAGTTTTTCCTCTGGTTCACCGTTTTTACTGTCACTGTTCGCCAATTCCTCGCAGATAACCTTTTCTCGTTTTTCATTTGAGTTCTGCTCAATTCTTTTGATGCGTGGAAGTGTTTCAGTGTAATTTAACTCAAATTAAATATCACCAGTCAATGTATTAGAAGTCATTTGCTTGATTTTTTTTTCGAGAAAATATGCCCCGTTTTTAGCTATTCACGTGAAAAAATAAAGAAAAAAAAACGGATTTTGACCAACATTTTTTAAAATGCAATTTGAATTGAAAAGTTTGTTTTTTGTATCCTTTTGAAGTCTAAATAATTTTGAAAAGCATAAAATCGAAAAATTTCAAAATAAGTAGTATGCATTTCTGTAGTTTTTGAAAAATTTTGATTTGTTTTGTTCAAGATCACCATGTTTTTGCTTTTTTTCAATCCATTTTTCAAAGTGTCCATATGGCCGAATTTGATAATCGAAAATAGTTTCAAGCCATTTCATCATTGTGGGCTAAATGTCTAGGCATCCTCCCAGCTATCTCATTAAGTGCACTATGCATTATAATATTTGAGCTGCTTGATGAGATAAGTTTTTTGTATTAAGACATGACACTTTTCCAATTTCCCACCCCCTCGAGGACTAACATAATTAAGTTGTTTGAAAGTTGTTCACACCGCACTTTGTATCGAAAAAGTGTGTGGCAATCTGTTCACTTAGTCACGATTACATACTTCAACACAGTTTAAAACATCAAAACTCATTTTAAGTAGACTTTTGTAAATTGAGTTTCAGAAAAAAACCAAGGGGGTATAGAAAAAGCCCCCCAAGAGACATAGTCAACCAACGAGGTGACTTTTTCATCCACTTGATTGCTTTTTTCATACTTGGAATGGTATTCTCAATCCTTCAAACCATTTTTGATGTCTAAATTTCTCAGGATTTTTGGCTCAAATCAATACCAGTTGTGAACCCGTGTTTGCAAGCTCTATTTTTAGTTCCGTGTGTTGGTTATTGTTGGTAGCTTGAGTTTTTTGGGTGAATTTTTCACTATTTTGCCATCATTTTGTTTTCAAACTCGGATGAACTCCGGGTGTAGTCCATTTTCCGTCAGTGATTATTTTTACGTTGTCTTCCCCTTTAAATTTTTTGAGGACGGTTTTGCGTTTTTAATTAAAACAATTTCCCACCTTGTTTTTATTGTAAATTGTAGAACTTCCGGTTTATAACGAAGACCATTTTTTGTCAACTTACACATTGGCGAGCTAAGATATAAGTCAAATAAAGTTCAGTACAAAGCAAACATATGTAATGAAGTGGCTAAGTCTTCGCTTTTGTCACAAATGGCCAGATGATTGAGAATCGTCTTGCTCTGTGCTCGCTGATAGAAGGCGAGGCAACAGTAGTTAGCCCAGATAAAAGCCAAAAACTGCATGTAGTTCTTAAGCAGGGGCACAGCAGTGGTTTTCCTTGAAGATTTGAAAAGCACGTATCTTGGCCTTTTGTTTGTTAATCCTCGTGAAAAAATTTTTTAAAAGCACAAAGTGGGTACTATTTAATCAAAAGTTTCTGTGTGTTGGAGCTCCTGCATCTAAGAAAAGTTTAAAAAAATCAGTTATAACGGATTTTTGTGGTCTAAAATGTTATCAATATATTTGATTCCCATGTTGCCCTCAGACAGCAAAATGGAATAACAAAACAGTTATAGTCCATTGTTCTGATCAAACTTTTAAAATTTTAACCCTTTTAAAACAATTTAAAATGGATTTTTTTTACATTGTTTTGTTCCAAGAAATATGTAAAGCAGAATTTTTGAAAAACAAGTGTTTGGCCTACACGACCAAGCCCCCATCACCTTAACCAAGCCCCCCCCCCCCCCCCACCTGAGCCATCCCTACTTGAACCACCCCCACCTGAACCAACCGCCTTCCAACATCCTGATCCAACCCCTTCCCCTCTTGAACCGACTCCTTACCTGAATCAACCCCTTCCCCACCTGAACCAGTACCTACCTCCTCGACAAAGTCAACCCCTTCCCACGCAGGATGTAATTTCTGACCCAGTTTCCCTCTTCCAAGCTTTTCGACTGATTTTTGTTGCTGAAATTTTTGAAAAGATAGTCAAAATGCCATTTTTGGAGGGTTTTGGCCAAAAAATAGCATTCTTTTTTAAATTATTCCATCTCCAGTTTTACCTCCCCTCTCCCCCTCAAAAAAAGTTGTTGAAAAAAATTATTTGAAGTTTAGTAACTGAGTAACATAAAACAGTAACAAAATTCAAAATTGCGCAGACAAAAAAGTTGAAACTGTACAAAAAGTAACCATCTTTAGTTTGAAACTTTGAAAAAATTTTTTTGGCATTAAAATTCGCATATCAACAAAAAGAAAACCTAATCGCGACTATAATCGAGTTTCTTTGTCTTTATCTACAAAAAATGAAAAAAAAATCGATTATTATTAATTAATGCTTTAGTGAACAAAAGCAAAATAATCAATTTCAGTTCAATGTAATCGGTTATTTTTCCTTTTTATAGACACTGACAAAACTCAAATTTAATTGATTTTCATCCATGGAATGCGAGAGCGGGCAAAAGAATTAGAGGTACAAGCTTTAAGACATGTACTTGAATTATTCTGATTTTTTCATTGGATTCCAATTTTTTGGCAGATGAATGACGGTCGACGAAGTCGCGCCGAACAACTCAGCCGACCAATCAGCGACGAGGACGACGACGAAGAGGTTGAAGAACTGTTCTTCGATAACCGACGACTCAGCGCCTCCTCAAATTTAATTGGCTATCAGTCTCCCTTCGGGAAACAAGTCGTTCCGATTGGCTACGACTACCCGGAACATTTTCACCCCAATATTGGCCATAATTCTGTGAAGCGGCGGGCTAGTTTTGACGACAGTCCTGAACAATATTTCAGGTGACGTAACAAAAAACACTTCAGGTGACGTAACATAACT